TTCACAAATTCAACACAACTGTGTTACATTACATTGTATTACACTGATGTAATATATGTTTCAATAAAGTAATATACAAATTTGAATATTTAATATTTCTTCTCTTCCCATGAAAATTAATTTTGTTATGTAACACTTCAAGCAACACCCCCACCCCTATGTCACACACTCTAACATTTTCCACTATACCCCCCACCCCCCTCTGCGTTACATAATACTTGAATGACCCCTTAAAAACGTTAGTTAGGCCTAGGCCTTAAATTATATTTGTTTTATGAATGTGCTCAAAACTTTAAGCTTTTACTGATTTATTTCCACACTTTTTCTACAATGTACTCACAGTACTAGGCTACTAAGGCTAGGCATAAGGCAGTAGTAGGACCAGGAGAACTCCCTGGTGGTAGGACTCAGCTCAGGAGACAGGACAGTCAGTAGGCACCAAGGCTACGCAACGGCTAGGCCTAATCACCGGCGACCGCTAGCCTGAGTGCGATGACTGATGGAACGTTCGTTGATTAACTGCACCCAGCTCAGCTTAAATGGAACAGTCTATGTTCTAGGCTGACATATTTTTGTAATATAAATATTTCCTTTATTATCTTATAAATAAAATCTTAATATCTTAATAAATCTTAATAAAAAATAATATATCTTAAAATATGTACCTACGAGATGTTAAATTTATGTTTAGACAAGGGAAGAAAACCCCTCTTCTGAACTCACAGCGCTTCGTTGGTTGCTACTGTGAACGACCTATGACATTTATTGTGCAGTGAACTGTAACAAAACCAAAGATACTAGAAATACAAAACGAAGTCGAGAGTCGATTCGATTGATGAGAGACAAGCAAGAAGGAACAGAAATCGTATTTCTTAAAGAAAAATTCCTTAAAAATGAAAACAGAGTCCTTAATAATACAATCAGCTGTCTTCGCATGCGTTTTTTCTGTTTGCAAATCATCCAAAGTTTGTTCATATTATGGTAAGAATTAATCAATAGATCACGCCTTAGAAGAGTTAGCGTCACACACTCAGTCAGGCTAGGCCCAAGCCCCAGGCAAATTTCGTAGCTGTTGTTATTGCTATGCTGTGCACACCGGAGCTGACTGTCGATATTATTAACTTTGCTAGGCCTGGGCCCTTAATCTAGCCTCGAGAAGGTGAATTTGAGGGCCACGTAAAAAATTTTACTGTTTAATGTGAAAATCTGACATTTCGTACAGTATGTGCTTGTAATATTATAATTATAAATTAATAAAGACTTTTTTCATGGTACTTTAGTTATTATTATATTATATAATTTAAAAATTATAATCATACCGCTCTAATTTTAGGTTTAAATATTATACCAGGCACCATTAGGTTGTACAACAAACTCGGCTTCTTTAAAAAGCAAACTAATTAATCAGGTGGACCTTATATTTTAGCAATATACTTATAGTTTGACAGTGGGTAAAGCATTTTTAAGTTTTGTTGCTTTTTTTTTAAGGTGAACATCGCTATGCAGCCCCACAATCAAGTCTATCAAACTGCTCCTGGTTTAGCAACTCGGCTTGCTGTCGTCGTACAGAGGTTACATCTGTGTTAGGGGGCATGTACAAAATCAACAAGGCAACACAGGAGTGCAAGAACAGACTCAACTATATGATGTGTTACTTCTGCAGTCCTGATCAGATGGACTGGTATGATGAGTAAGTAAACACAAGCAAACATCATTATTGTCAACAGTTAATGCAAAATCTTCAAACAATTCTAAAAATTCATTCATAAGCATTTGCAGTGGTGGCGCCAATGGGAGGGGGGTGCGGGGAGACAAGACAATCCGTCAAGGAGATTGAAGATTCTGTGAAATCTTTACAGATTGTTACACTCCTAAATCGATTGAATTGTAAGCCCCCCTAGGTTAGTGTTGTCTCTCAACTGACCCCCCACCTTTTGGACATTGGTATCTGCCCCTGACAATTCTTATGATAAATATATGATGTTATTTGACTGTACAGATGAAAAAAAAGTGCTATATATGAAGTCCTGTAATTGTGGTATCATCCCCTCCTATAGCACCTATTAAATTCTTATAAAGCCAATTGAAGTAAGTGATGAGAAGAAAAAATGTAATTTGTTGTATTTTAGATTATTAATAAAAGATTCATCAGAAGTCTTGTATCCATGTTTTGTATTGACTTACAGAAAAATATTGAGCTCCAAAATGATTTACTAACAAAATTCATTCTTTTTTTTAATATTTAGAAATAGAGTGATCATATGTTCCGAATTCTGCGAGGCCACGTACAAGTCATGCAAGTCCGCAACCTTCAATAATGAACCGCTCCTAAAACAATACGAGACATCTAGCCAATTCTGTGAGGCCCAGAGTTTTCAGGTGATATCAGGCACGCGGAACTGTTTCAACTTTGACCCAAATGTATTTGACACTGGCGGTCAATCATTGTCATCCTTTCTTTTCATCATCATTTCCCTCCTAATTTCTGTTATCTTATTTCATTAATATTATTTAAAAACTCTCAATTTTGTACTTGTTTGGTTTATATTTATTATGCTGACAAAAACAGGTATAAATTATCAAATTTTTTTCATTCCAGTAAACCCAGGGTATTGCTATAAAACACTCTTAATGTTTAGCTGGCTGTACTTAAGCAGCAGATAGTGGTCATTCAATAAAAACCATTGCTATACCACAGTGTACTGTAATCCAGGGGTGGGCATCAAAGTGGGTCGGAGGGCCAAAGTGAATTTTTTATTTAACATCGAGGGCCACACCCAAACTTTGATGTTTCCAGTGGGTTCCAAAACCTTCATGTAAGCCCTCTCAGAATTTGTTAGTCCTGACAGGGCTTCCGACTTTTTATACGAATCCATCCCAGACCTGAAGTCTTAATAGCCCTATAAGCCAAAGAATTTGATGTATTATTTTGTTGCATGTATATGTGGCAAAGACAAGCCAAATCAGTCACTTGTCGCAAACATCAAATTTTGGTTATTAATACAGGGCTATACAGTAAAATGAGAGCTATGAAATGGTTGTAAAAGAATCATTTAAATCCGACATTTCGTTATGAAGTTACAGGAGTTTAAACATACAGCTGTTTAAAGAACAATATTCAAGAAATCAGCCTTCAAAGTTTATGATTTTGGGCATTTCTCCGGCAGAAACCATCACCAAATTGTTAAAAATTGTTGTTTTAACATTGAAAATAGGGAAAATAACAACATAGCATGATGTATAGATATATAAAGTTTTGTTTAGTGCAATAAAATAGATTTGAAAAATTTTGACAATCCAGCATGTTTTGGCCATTATATCTGAAACAGGATTTGCGACGAGAGACTGGTTTGGCTTGTCTTAGCCACATATTGTTATTTTCTAAAATTTGTTTTAAGTACAGTAAAACAGCATTACAATGCTCTTGTCATTTATGTTAATTGGTAAATTTTAATGCCCTGTCCAGACTATCAAATTTTATTTGACAAAATCATGTGACATGCCTAAATATGGTCATGATGACATCACATCATGACCATATATAGGCACATCAACAACAACAGTTTTTTTTTGTCAAATGAAATTTGTGTGGACAAAACATAAAGGAGACACCTGTCATTACAACGAATCACAGATGACAATCACAGGATGTTTGAATTTTAGTAGAAATAAAATTAATCTGTCATTTTAGACGAATCAAATTATGAATTATTTATACTAGCATTATTTGTAGGTCAGCAATTTTAATATACAATAATTAAGACCATTTATAAATTGAAATAAGTCTGTGAACACACAATTGATGAATTTGTATGAAAAAAGTATAATATGAAATTAAAAATAATTACCTGTTTAATTTCTAAATAATCAACCTATCAGCTTAGTTTGTAGAATGCTGTCTCATAAAAAGTGCAATAATGTATTGAAGTTACCATTTTAATATATTCACAGTATTATGTAAATAACTACCCTAAATATTTATCAGTACATTTTTAGAGGCTTGCTTATAAATGCTTTCTACCAAAAAATATTCCCATCAAATTATTTATGACATAAATTACACGATTTACAAATGTATGGTAGTATTTATGCAATATTTAAAATAATGAAACTGCCGTATTTAACTTATTAGTATGTACTTATATTTTGTGTCTTGGTGTGTATATGAAAAAACAGAATTTTAAAAATCAAATGCAATATGTAGCGTTTAAATAATAATGATTAGAAATAGGAACATGTGAAAGAAAAATATGGACAAAAATATGAAAATATTCTTTCACATTGTATGAATTGCATACATTATGTGATTAATACAGTATGTATTGTATAAAAATTGTTTCACTTATTGGATATATATTATTTTGAAGATTGTCTGTGTTTGTATGCGGCCTAACAACATTTTTGTACCTCTTTCCAGCGGTGACTCCAGAAAAAGCTCTGACTCAGTGACAGGTGGTCTGACAAGCGTCTCTGTCAGAGCCCTGGAATAAAAATTCCTGGTAGGGTTCATGGGGAGAGGTTTTTATGTCTTAGTATGGAGCCCCAAAATTTAGACCAAATAATGGAATGGAAATCAAATTTTAACGTTAATTGGATAGGCAAATCAACATTTTTGGTCCCGTAGGTCCAGGCCTGTCCAACGGAGCCGGGGGAAATTGCCGCTGTTGTCACACCCGCCTCTCTCTGAGACAATGAAGCAATTTATCAACTGGAACAAAAATTGCATTAGTCTACAATCCAATTTTATATTGATTTTTGATTGATGGCTTTTTGTATGTTCCTTGTGATTTTTTGAATAAATAAACCTGAAAAATAACAAAGGGGTGGGTCAAACGAAAAACTTACAAATTGACATCCAGTGGGCAATGTATACACGTAGATGCTGAATGGGAACAAGTATTTTAATCCCATGTGCCCTAACCAAATGGCAAGAATCTAAATAGTTGTTGTATAGATATAACTTTTTATTTCAGGCCCTGTTAATTTCAGGCCTGCAATATCATTAGAGAGCTTTCGATTGCATGATGACTGTAGAAGCAGTGACGTAGAACGTAATGACATCACTAAGAAACCATCTGCTCTTGTGAGAACATTTAGGTCCTCATTGTCGCCTGGTTTCTTGATGCAACTTGGCCCGAAACTACGTTGTGCAGAGAATTATCGTAGGATGGTCAAGGATGAGTGAATCCGTTCTAGCGTTACATCGTCATGCAAATTGAAATCTTCCTATTGTGGTACATGTACAACTATTTGCAAAGAATTTTAGAATACTGTATAGTACTTATAATTATACTCAATTAGACTCAGACCAAAGTGTATAAAATGCAAGTTTTTAGTCATGTTGAAGTATAAAGTTAAATATATTGACTCTAGTTTAAGATTAGTTTCTAGTTGTAAGATTCAACATTGACTTTTTATAGTGATGCTTGTTTCAGATATTTAATCAAACAAATGGAGTGTATGAGACAACTGAAGATAGCACTTTAAATGAGTGATCAGGAGTCGAAATTCAAACTTTTGGGAACCCAAAATGCACAATAAGCTTTTTCATTATGTACAATAAAAAAAAACAGAACAGCATAATTATTCTAGGCACCAATCACTCGTTAAAAACTTTCTGCATGGCTTGGATAATTTAAGAATGTTTTCACTGAATATTTTTTGACCCAGTACGTGGTTGGTGGTTTGACCACAGTATTTCCAGCTTGAACAGGGCTTGTGATATACTGATGATGAATAAACATTATTTGTAAAGATAGTCGGATAATGTAGATTAATATTAAATCATGTTTATTCATTTGTAAAGTAATATTTGCAATAAAAAAATTAATTCTTTACAGATTTCTCAGTGTATTGTAAATTTGATGTTTTAGTAATAATATCTCGTATGGTAAAAATATTAGCTAAATTAAACCAGTCTTAAATCTGTTTAGTCTGGTATTACCAGAAAAAAACATCATATTCACAAACGTACCAAAACCCATAGGCTCCGTTTTCTTATTACCATCTTGCATTCTGCCATTTTGAAATCAGATTTACCAAACTTTAAATATAGTGGTGCCGACAACAACATCAAGAAGAACGTAGGCAAAGACAATAGCCTCCCCGGAGCTTCGCTCCTTTGGGGAAGCTAAAATTGTACTGTATATCTGGGGTTCTCAACTATATAATGTCAGAGGGCCAAGTTTGTATATTGAATAAATTTGAAGGTTCAAATGATCATGCAAAACTGCAAAGGGAGTGTTGCAACTCAATATGAAAAAGATAATTGGTAAGCTGTATCCGCCAAATAGCCAAATCCTAATAAAAGCTGAATTTTGTTAAATATTTCTATTCAAAATTAGACTCAAAGCTAATGGAATTAAAGCTACCATTGCTTATATTCGTTTGTTTTAACTAATTATACTTCTATTTGGCTAATTATTTTTATAATAGCTTTAGAGTGGAGTTGAATAGCTTGGTGGTTAAGATGCTTGCCTTCCAATACCAGGGTCCTGGGTTCAATTCCTGTCAGTGTTGCAGGATTTTTTCTCACGACCAAAACAACTCCACTCCCTAAATTTTATATTGAGATTTAGTTTGGGTAAAGCATCTTGAGTGTATGTTTGTCTTGTGAAAGGGATTGTCACCTACAAGTAGGACAGTGATATATTCACTATTGACAATCCTTGGCACATGATGTATTGCGTGCCTAAATAAATAATTTAAAAAATTTAAATAAAAAAATGATGCAATAGTGGCTTTAAATATCCTGGGTATTTTTGAGCTGTTTTACAAAACTTATTACTAATAGCTCTCTGTAAATGTGTTGAGACTATTCACACTTTCTAATTCTTCAGTGGTAGATCCCGTAAATACCAGGAACCCAAGGAGATTCTCTACCACCTCAGCCCCACAATGGTTAGGGTTAGGACTGATAAAATTTAAAAATATGATTATGGCATGACATCTCTAGATGGCCGAAAATGGCACACTCATCTTCCTCCATTTTGGGCGGCTGGGCCCCCTACCCACCTTGAATCCGTCACTGTTGCTACTTCTTTCGAAATTATTGATAACGTGTAGCTACGCCTAGTTGACAAAGCAATGCAAAATATTATATTAGGCTTGTTCTAGAGAGCCGGATAACGCATATTTGCTGGGTAGAAATGGCCTGCGGGCTGCCAGTTGAGAACCCCTGCTGTACATGATAATACAAATAAAATGATCAAATGAATAATTACAATATATACAAAATGTTAAAACAAATTTCATTTATTAGTTAACAATAACAGGGAATATTTCAACATGTTTTTTTTTTCTTCTTATTCTATCATTACAGAAAAGGAGATCTATACCATCTAGCTTGCTCTCATGGTTAGATAGTAAACATTTTATCTTGCAGGTTTGAACAAGATTTGTCAATTTCTGGCCAATTTTGTAGCACATGTACAGGTCTGAAACTATGTTTTAGCATGAATGAAATACGGTAAATCTCGAATAGAAGCCCTGGGCTTCTTTTTTCAGCAACCCTAGAATGGGCTTCTTTTTAGATGAGCCTCTTTTGAGATGGGCTTTTTTTCGAAATTACTTTTCCAAACTGAAGAGGAGGGGGGCTTCTTTTCGAGATTAAGCCCACTTTACAATACTGATTAGAGGGAAAAAAACAATGATAGGAAAGAATAAATATCCATGCTGTTTTTTCTATGTAAAATGATTTCATACCATAGCCTTTTGACTCCTAGAAATTTTCATATCTACTTTTCTCTTTTGGATCATTTGCTGCCTGATTTCATCTGTCCTGATTAAATGATTATTGACAAATAATAATAATTCTGGATTTATATAGCGCCTCCCATTGACACAACCTCGAAGCGCTTGAACATTATTACCCCCGGATCACTGGATTAAGCACACATGGAACACACACTCAAGCCCCATAATCACCTGATCTTTTACATCAGTTTGCATATACAGAATGTGAGCGTTTATAAAAGAACAAAGCCAATGTAGACTAGTGAAAGTATATGCTTCATTTTTGTGTTTAATAGTGCGCTTTTTTCATATATTTTTAAATAAAGAACTTTAGAAATTGAACAGTGTAAAGCCTATTATTTTCCAAAAAATTGCTTACCTGTCGCTATAGTGTGTCCATCGTAGCTCAGCGGTGGCGCCAACAAGGGGCAGGGAAGGCAATTGCCGAAAAATTGGCAAAATTTAACTATCTGATCCAATCAACCAATTTTTTTAATGATAAGTGCATAATAATAAAAAAAAAATTGTAACAAATATTTTAGAGAGTAAAAATTGTATAATGGATCTGTCTGTTAAGCTACACCCTTTGGATAAGGCCCAACAATACGATAGCATAATTGTACGTAAACACATGCTTTTCTGGGACAACGCGTGTGCTTGTTGGACACGCATCTATTCCTAGCACTAATCCGATTGGTCAGTTGTTGAATTTGATTGACACTTGAGAACAGTCCATTGTACACTGTATTATGGACAAACCTCTAAAAATAAGCCCAGTCTATGACCTTGGGTAAGCATTTTTCAGCCAAAATTTTTTTATATCTTCTAAACTTGTTAGCAGTAATAACAGTTGACGTGAATGATCACTACCGAACGTTGGATTTTAAGATGAATACCACGTTCCCTTAAGCATGTGCATTTTGTACTTTTCAACAGTAACCATATGTCTATGTAATCAAATCAGTTAACTCAGATGTTTTTGAATAAAACAAGGAAAACTAATTTATCATTAAAACATCCAACAGGTATCCCTATCCTGATGCCAGCATGGATAATATCTCTTTTTATATAGTCCGATAGCGTAAGCTCAAACAATCTTTTCTATTTCATCAGCATCATCGGTTTCTAGTCTCTCGATTTTACGTCCTAGAAGAAAATATTAAACAATAGAAAAAATATCCTGTTTTAACATTTTTGTAAACAAATAAATTGGATAATGACATGATGACAGGAATGGATTCAACAAAGAATTACTTGATGAAATATAAAAATTAAAGTATTTTACCGAAGTGCTTCGCAATGATTTCTAGATTAGCCATACTCCTAGGGCCGTCCACGTAGTTGATGGCAAGTCCTGACTTGCCAAACCTCCCAGTACGTCCGATCCTGTGAAGGTATGTCTCGCAATCTGCTTTCATGTTTAAGTCGACGGGTAGGTCAAAGTTCACAACCACAGTGACCTGCTCAATGTCAATACCTGATTAAATATGGAAGGTTATGGATGTCATTTTATGAAGATATTAATATTGTGTTGATAAAATTTCATCTATTTTTACATTTTAAATAGAACAAAATATTCTTTCATGCAAAACAAGTATATTCTTTTTTATTTTAAACAGTTTTGCCAACTATCAGTTGACATCATCGTATAAGCTGTCAATATTTAGTGATTGATTAGATCTTACAATACATCCCCAATAGATTACAAAAGTTAAGCCTGGTTCAACTTCATCGACCTTCTGGAGATGGATCGAAAAGCGTTTTCGACTGCATCAGAAACAGCTATGAAGTGCAGCATTGAAAGTAGAAATGCTGTAGCAACAGTATAATAATTTTTTGGAAAATCAGGCTTTAGATGGACCAATTGAGATATTTTGTAGAGGAAGTAAGAAATGTTAAGATTATGCTACATTTCTTGACCTTGGATGTGTCATATGACCAATACATACCTCTAGCCATAACATTGGTAGTAATGAGTATCTTCTCCTTGCCTTGTCTGAATCTCTCTAGAACTGCCATCCTTTGGTCGATAGTTAGCTCTCCACTAAGCAGCGCCACCGCATGACCATCCTTTACCATCTTCTCCGCTAACCACGCTGCCACTCGTCTGGTCTAATTTATTAACAGAAATTAAAATAGATGGTTCACCTTACAATCTGTAAAACTTTTTGAAGCTTGTTTACTGAAATTCCTCCAGTATAAGCCCCCTCCCCCCACCCCAAAGACACAAAACTGGGCCGATTCGGGTGGGAAATTCATGGGAATCCCCTTTTCAATCAAAAGGTAGAAAATTAACATGTTCGCTGCCAGGGACAAGTATACTCGTCCCACTGGGTGTTGCTGGGGGCGCTAGAAACAACTATACTCGTCAAAATTGGGGTAACATTCTAGCATTTATTACTTCTTTGCTATACAAATTGCAAATTATTTATTATTTATTTATTTATACATTGTAGAACCACAGACTTAACAGCTGGTATTTGGAGGAAGATACACCTACACGATAACGTACATATAACGTATGCATGTTTGTTGTGTTAAGTTACCAGCAGTACACTCTAGTGTACAAGTGGGGGTGCCCTCTGAACATATACCAGCACAAGCCAAAAAAGACGAGAAAATTCACACTTGGCTGAGGCAATAAAATGAGTATTACCAGTGCCAGCGGCGAGTTTACTCGTGCCCTAATATTTTCACCCCAATTATTAAACACACCATTTTGATGATATATGACTAAATAAATTTCAAAAAAAGTTATGTTTGTACATGTAAACTTGTTTTGGCACACAGGAAGGAACCTTAAAAACACGTCTGGCAGTCAACGTGTTCATTAAAATTATTTATTTTCCATAATACACATATTTACAAAAAATAGTGGTATATTGACCGAAAAAAATGTTTTGCCTTTTATATAGCACTTTCATATTTAAACTCTCAGCAGCCATACAAAATATGTGTCAGCTCTTTCGAGAGTGGTTACAAGCTGCGCACTCACACGACGACTCACTGCGACGGTCGTTCGACCGTCGTGCGAATCCAACTCCGCTCCCTGTGAACGCTAGACTACACGACGTCGTCTGCTGATTGTCGGTGGCAATCTGAACGGATCGTTATTAAAAGCAATCCGTTGCACGCGCGCATTGTCGTGTTGAGTTATTCATAGAATCGCATCGGCTGACAACTGCCGGGCAGAGTGGGTGTCTGGCTTTAGTATGCTTCAATGCAAAATAATTCTATATCACAATGTACCCGACTGAAGATGAGTCACAATGTGGACAAAAAGGCTAGTCAAATTCTCGAATAAATAGTTTACTTACGTGACAGAAGATCATGGCTTGCCCAATGGAAATGGTGCCGTAGATATTAGATAGTGACTGGAACTTCTCTTCTATATTGTTGCACTCCACGTAGTATTGTTTAATATTACTCAGACTCTCCTCCTCCCGCCGTAGCCGGATGATCATCGGATCGTTGATAATGCTCTGTGCAAATTTCATCACTGCCTCATCGTATGTTGCAGAAAACAACATCATTTGGCATGCGTTTGATAACTTTCTAAAAAAATATAAATCTTGAAAATGTTCATACTAGTATTTTACGTTGATATTTTTTATTAAAGTTTGGTTTCCATACAATCGCACCACACTATCACCGACGGCTTTCAGTGATGGTGATTGGTAGGACGCATTGGGAAGCCTTCCCGATTGCATCAGGGACTGCTACACAGTACAGTTGAAAACACAGCGGCAGTGTAGCGATTTTATGGAAACCAGGCTTAATACGTTAATCTTCTATAATGCATCAAGGCAAGAGCTCTGTGCTTCAAGCTATTATCCTCTTCCTTCACATCTTCTTCCTCATCATCATCCTTAATTTGACTGTTACCTTCATTATCATCATCAATATTATCACTATTTGTCTCGTTAGATGCCAAAACCATTAGAGTGCCTGTGAGTAATGACCTTGCTGACCACTGTTTTTAACAGTGGTCTCAATTGCAAGAAAACGGTGCAATGGATTTGGTTCCTTGCACTAGTCTGTTTTTGTAGATTTCTTTTTTAACTAATCTTAGGATAGTCTTCTCTTGTTTTTTGATTTCTTATAATATCCGGCACCTTTTTGTCTGCTTTTTACCTTTTCCTTACTTGGACATGGTGCTTATAAATCGACCTATTATTATCACTATCACCATCATTATCATCCTTAATCATCCTCATCTGAATTCTCATCATTATCCTCATCATCACAATCAGCATCATCACCATCATCCTGCTTCTCCTCAAGATTTGTCCAGACTACCAAATTTTCCTTGACAAAAATCTCTATGCCCATATATAGTCATGATGTGCCTATATATGGTTATAATGTGATGTCATCATGACCATATTTAGGTATGTCACATGTTTTTGATAGTGTGAATATCACTTAACCAAACATTAATAAATATTCATACTTTCTTATCCTAATTGACTGGTCTTGATGCCCCTGTGTTGCTATCATCACATCTGCTTCATCCAAGACAAATACCGTGATTTTATCAAGATCTATAACATGATAGCGCGTGCACCAATCGAGCGTTGTACCGGGTGTTCCGATCACAATCTGCTCTGGTAATCTCTCGCCTCTGGAAACTCTCTCACCTCGTACAGCATAGCGTACACTGACGTCCGTTAACATTTTCCCCATCTCCTTAACAACTTTACCGATCTGCAACGCCAACTCAAATGTGGGAGCTAGACATAACACCTGTAGTTTTTTTAAGAAAACACACCAAAAAAAAAAAAAATTAAAATATTGACTTACTTTACCAGATTTGGAGAAAAAAAAAGTTTTGATAATGTTGTACAACAAATTTTTCTAAGACACAAAAATGGTGTTTTGACGAAAAAATTGGGAATGTTTTGATTCAGATTTTTGAATATCTAAAAACTGGGATAAAAGGTGGAAAAATGGTGGTTATATCCCTTTCCCCCTCCCCCCAGTTTTTAAATATTCAAAATCTGTATCTCATTTACCAAGTTTTTCATCCAACACCATTTTGGTGTCTTAGAAAAATTAGTTCTACAATATATCAAAAAACTTTTCCCTCAGAAGCCTGGCTTTAAAATGATGCACTTGCACTGTAACTCAAATGAATCTTATGTTTTTACAGATTTTACTACAAAGTTGATTAAACTGATGACCATCTAATTTATTGAATCTATGTAAAGATTATAAAACTTGGCTCCTCATCAGTTCAGAATCAGAATCACTTTATTATCTCCAAAAGAAGAAATTGTTTGCTCGATAAAACCTTTCTTTAAAATACATTCATAATATAAATACAATACAAAAGTACATCACAAATTAAAAACATAAGATATTAAAAAATGTAAAAAACACTAAAACATCAAAAATCGAACACAAAAAAGAATAAAAACACATTAAAATTCATACATTATACATTCATAATAAAAAATACGATCCAAAACGACAAAAATGCATTGTTGAAAATAGAAATATATTGTTGCATGCAAAGGGCTGTAATGATTAAGATTCAGACAAACAAGACACCATGAAAAGCTTTACCTATATAGGGGTATTCAGAGAGGGTCTATGTTTACAACGGTATAGTGAAAGGATATCCAAGAATGGGAATTAATTAATCATTTCCAACTTTCAAAGAAAGAGTAATTTCTGTTTCTGATGCATGTGAATTGGTTGCTGCTCAAGCCCTAGCTTTTAACAAAGCTTAAATTTAAAGAAAATAATTAATGCTCATTCAAAAAAAGTGTTTATTCGAGAAGTGTTTAATGCTCATTAAACAAAACATGGTTGGTCAAATGACTCTGTGGAGCTCATTAGCCCTTGCAAGCTTCCTTACCTGTGGATACCTTTTACTGCCATCAACCCTACTGAGCATGGTCAGTACAAATGCTGCGGTTTTGCCTGTTCCGCTCTGTGATTGAGCAATCATATTTTGAGGCCTGCGTGTAGTAAAAAAAACTCTTTTGAAAGTCCGATACTGTGATGGTAAATTTGATTGAGACTCTGTTGTAGGTCCACTGTATTGCCTAATCTTTATTGAATTTAATGTCTATAGTAATCAATTATCATAAAATACAGAATCTATAATATATTTATCAATATTATCTACAGCATTATTACTTATGCTAGTAACTTGATATTGCAGTATTTGAACATACTAGTGGTGGAATAGATGTAACTACTACTTACGGATCCGCTAAGAGCATTGGTAGTGCCGTCTCTTGTATTTTTGATGGGGCATTGAAGCCCATATTGTAGATGCCTTTTAAAAGCTCTGGTTTTCTGGAATAAACAACATGACTTTCATTTCATTTTCATTTCCCATGAACAAAAAAAACATTTTTCTAAGGTAGTGTTGCATACCTGCATGAGGCAAAAATCGAAATAGAAAAACACTATCACATTTTCTGACAAAAAAAACTGTTGTATGCTAATATATAGGTACATCACGACTAAATATGGGCGAACTAAATTCTCATGACTATATATGGGCATACAACAGTTTTTGTCAAAGAAAATGTGATAGTGTGGAGAGAACTTAAGCCATAATCCCTAATCATAATACCTGAGAAGGTCATGAAGAAGGTTATATATGGTCATGATGTGATGTCATCATGACCGTATTTAGGCATTTGACATGTTTTTGTCAAACGTTGATAGTCTGGAAAATCGCTTATAAACATCACTGAATCGTTCTTCGACAGACTACACGTAGAGAGAGAGAGACTACGCAGAAAATACTTTCCCCAAAAACAGAAACAAGACATCAGCCTTATCATTGTGCCAAATGCATCCATAGGGCAGGCTACTATAGCAAAAATTTAACATTTTGATAGTATGCTGGGAAGACAAGGGGGCAGTGACAAAAGTTCCTAAATATATCATTTAGGTGAGGTTTTATTTATACCTTGTTTAGCAAACCCGCCATCCGCCAATAATGGTAATTTCAAATAAAAATAAACTTTTATTTTGGCCAATTAGCGCACCCACCAGCATGTAAAAAATGGAAATTAAAAAAAAATAAAAGTTTTACTTTATTTTTATTATGCCCTCCACTGAATTGAAATCTCTAAAAATAAGATATGTATCTTTCTTCCTAATTATATAAATTTAAAGCATTTAACCATTACATTATACACTGTTAACATTCAAAAATAAAATTTTATTTTATTTTTCTCTCCATCTGGATGTTTTTTTGGCAAAACCATTGCTAAATATGAAAACAAAATTTTATTTTTATTTTTTTCACCCTAAACTGACGATAAGTATGCAAATCAAGGCATAAAAAAAGTCTTGCCTTAACTAAGATATTAAAATGGCTAAAACTATGAAACGTCTTGAAAGCTTAGCTTTGCATTCTGAACCCAGCTACAGGGAAGACAACACCCTCACAAAGCATACGCCCTCGATTTGATCATCACAACACCCGGAAGAGACATTCTAGATCTGCCCCTGATCCCCCAAATCTTCAATTCCTTCGGGTCTCAACAGCACACACCATTTTATTGGGTCTATTTTGAAACAACACCACTGTCTCGCAGCTTTTCACTGGGGACTTCCAGTGGCCTAGTCTGAGCAGCTGGCTAGCTAGTTACAAGCAGAGCACCGCACAGCGGATAACGGCGCTAGATGCTTGCTTTAGCAGCAGCTGACAACAGATACGATCTTTTGCTAAACTTTATGTAAACATTGAAATAGCTTTTGAAGACTTAGACTTGTTTTTAATATCAACATTTGTTCTTTTTCCGTTTTAAAATATTTGTGCTCATTAGTAATTTAGATTTATAGTTTAAGTAATCCATGATGCTAATTACATAGAGCGAAATGCTAGGCCTCTGGAAGTCCCCCAGTAGTAGTCGTAAGGTTACTGGAACTTTTCGTTTCAAATTTGGTGAAAATGGTGAATACAAACTTACAAGTGCAGTTCCTCAAATGATTTTACGGAGTAAAGTGGAGAGTTTGGGTCCTTTTGTTGAACATCAAGCTTCACATCATGCGTGGATTGGACCAGCCTAGAATGCAATGCCTTCTGTAGTAACGACGCATCTGCCGCTTGTTGTGCTAGATAAATAAAATTCCAAAAATGAGAAATCACTATAATAGGGTCTGCCATAATAGAATTGATGATGTAACTTTTTTTTTTTGCCCAACCTGACGTGAAAATGTACTGAATGCTCAGTATGTGTGAAAATACTTGCGAAAAAATCGCAAGTAATTCGTCACTCACATCACGAACTAACACAATCAAAGTAGATTGTGTTAGTTCGTGAAATCACAGTAGCGCGTCAAAACGAGCGCGTATTGGTTGTCAAGCAATTTTGTGTTCTTTACCACATAAAAAGTCCTTAACGACAACAGCGCGTATTTTGACGCGCTTTTTTGATTTCACAAACTAACACAATTGAATTTAATTATGTTAGTTCGTGATGTGAGCGACGAATTAATAATATTAATCAATTGGCAATTATCATAATTTTTTCAATAAAATCGTTCATAGTGATTACAGTATTCTTTCTTCTTTTTCCTCACTTCCCTGGTGATCTTTCACAAAATAAACTTCTCTAAACAAGGTATAAATAAAAGCTTTTACCTCATAACATTTTTCATATCCCTTATGTTTTTTTAATTTGGGAAACTTTAACAAACTGTAGGCCTACCACAAAATATTTAAACAAAGCCATCTTTGGATATACTCTTTACAAAAAAAACCAGGTTAATCAATCCAATTAGTCCACCGAATTGTTTATTGCATACTTTATTAAGACCACACTGGTCACTATTTTGATTAAAAAACTAACATTAAGTAAAATATGGTGATTGACTTACAAGCAATCAGTATAATGCTTATTTACACATTAGAGGGAATTATTATATACTTAGGCAAGATTAATGGATTCAAAAAATTTTAAAAATTATTTTTTTAATGCAATAATCTAACCTTTATATAATAATTTCCACTAGTATATGATAAACAACTAAACTAATTGCTTAGTATCTCAGACAGAGGCTTTATTAGTCTCACACTAGCATTTTTTTTTTATTAATGAATTTTATATTTTTAGCTTCTCTACTCAGATGCTTTTGGAAAATCTATTTCACTAAAATGACAAACAAAATTTTTCCTCCCTTCTTTGGTGACCTTTCACAAAAGTTCACTCAACAAGGTACAAAAAAAGTTGATAAAAATAAAATATTTCAATACCTGTTTCCTGCTCCGTCAACTGGCCAAGTGATTCTGTACTATCACCGCCTCCCGCCTTTGATGAAATTGCCAATTTGTGGTGCACCTGTTTCAATTAAATTATACTTCATAATATAATGGTTATAAACAATAGACAATTAGTCATTCATGCCTAATCAGGTTTGGAGAAAGCACCTTCATGATAATCATTGAGTTGTCATGGCTTGTTGTAACTTCCAGTCAAAAAAAATTTCAATCTAATCGAGCCATTATTTTTTGTCCAGAAAAGTGGGTGTGACACACTTTTTCGATTCTTTGACTTTTAATTCTGATATCCTTTTTCAGATCATTTACATAATCACTATAAACTGCTAAACCAAACAAGTTTTACTTAACATGACTGGCCTATTTGACTTACACCTTGATCCTTATTTATTTATTTATTTTATTTCAACAATCTTTAATGAGGGTGGTCCATCCAGCTGAAGCTGATCATTAGGGACCCTCAATACACATAGTAAGACAAAACAAAAGAGTGTATTCAACTAATTAAATTACAGTAAAATAAATAACAACCTCTCAATACAAAATTTACATAAAGAATTAATTCAAAATTAAATAAAAAACTTAATATAAAAATTAAAATAAAATTACAATTAAAGATGAAAATGAAAGAGCAATATTAAAAAACAATAGGCAAAGGGACATTAAAACAACAAAGGGAATAAAGTAGCCTAAACAAAATAATCAAATAAATAAAAAATAGATAATAGGCCAATGTATATGAGAACCATAAATCAAATCACTCTTAATTTAAAGAAAATAAATCAATTTAAATTAATAAATAAAACAGAAAATAAATAATAAGGTAGAAATCAAAAAATGAATTCTCAGTGCAAAAGGCCAAAGAAACAGAATTACAG